TATATGCATCATTTTGACAGTAAGCTTGTTCCCAGTGAGCTATTATGTTGGGCTTACATGGCACGGTTTTGGTAGTGGAGGACTGAGATTCCAAAAGGGACCTGGTGCAGGTCATTGCAGAAAGAGGGCAGGAGGTGCTCCAGACATGGAGCAGCAGCTCCCTGTGGCCCAGGAGAGGCCCACGGTGGAGCAGGTTTTCCCCCTGCATTTCCCATCTAGTCTGCTATCAACAAGCAATAAATTACATGAATCTCCCTCTTCTAACTGTCCCTATGCTAAGTCTGTTTCGCCTGTGGCAGTAATTGGTGAGTGATCTCAACCCATGAACTTTTCTTTCATTACAATTCTCTTCCCTTGTTCTGTGGAGGAGGGCTGAGAGAGGAGTGTGGTGGAGTCACTGGTGTGAAAGCACCCTGGTTACTGTGAAAAAAAATCCACAGAGAACGATGCAATTGCAGTGGGCATAAAAGAAGTCCACCATTCACTCCCATTTTGAAATAGCTTCTTGCCACGATCAGTAAAAAGCAATTGGCATCTTCTCAGCTGTTCCTTCATTGCAGAGGGATCCCAGGGGTCCCTATGATGAAATGACCATAAGCAGCAGTGCTTAGCACTGCAGGCATGCACTAGTCTGACTGCAGAGGCTACTCAATGTAGTGACCCTTGTGTGCTTATGTGGAGGATGTGGGAACATATCAGAAGCAGCTCCACATGTCAATCATTAAGGTAATGGATGTTACAGGCACCTTACCCATATCCACTCCATGTGTAGACACTTTAGCACACTTATATGTATTGCTTTTCTGAATTGTTTGATGCTGAGTCACCCCTGAATACCACTGAAAATAGCATGTTTTTTGTAAAAGGCTTTGCTCTAGATCCACGTACCAATATTATTCTCTCTTCCTAATCCTCATTGGTGAAAAAGTAGTGGAGTTTCAAGAAATGATGACATTAATTCATCAAATATCTTAAAATCATTCACTGTGTTATTATGCAGTAACACAAACTGCTGTTAATAACAGAATGAAACTGTCATAGATAGCTCAGAGAAGCTCTGTGTGATCATTGTTAAGACCCTTTCATAGGCTGGGAAAACAAAGCAAAAAATCTTTAACTGTCAAAGACAGTTAGTGAGTTAGTGAATCAGTGTTAGTGAGAACTGATCCTGGTTTCAAGAAACTTCAAGAAATTGGTTCTAAATGTAAGCCAAATATTTTCCAGTCACCGAGCCCCATAAGTAGGATAAGCCCTATAAGGAGAATCTCAACATCCAAAAAAGTCATACATAAGATGAATAAAATTTTCCCGTATTTTTATTTTTCAGGGATGCTCTCTTGCTTTTCTCCCATGACAAGAAAGCATGGTTCCTTCTACTACATGCATTAAAAAATACTGATGCCATCACAGATCAACAGCCTAAGAGAAAACTAAATACCTATTGAAAAAGAAAAAAAACAACAAAAACAAATACAAATCAACAATATTGGAGCTAATTTTAACAAAAACTGTGCTAGTAACTTGAGTGCCAAGAGGAATTCACTGAAGACAGGGAAGTCAATTTTGTACAGAACTGAAGTGTGTCTTGTGGTGAACGCAAAGAATTTCTCAGGACTAAGACCACAAACACAACATTTTATGTTACATAGCGCAGAAACTCTTATTTGTAGAAACTCTGCTACCCCACGAGCTGCAATTTTTTTGGCTGTCAATAATCTGATTATACACATAATTGTCAATAATCATGTGTATTGTGAATAATTTTGAGAGAGTATGAATATCCTTCTCCATTCCCACTTGGTTCTCTTAGAAGAAAGCTTACTGCTCCAAAATTCTCTCTCTACTTCTGCCTTTGATGGGACATATTTTCAGCTGTTGTATATCAACATAGAATTGCTAATCTCAATTCACGTTAACTGATCAAAACCCAACTACTTTCATCCTAAAATTGGAGTATATTCTCCTAGACTGCTAAGCTACACAGAGACCCAGACAGATCACCATTAAAGCAAAGGTTATAAACTCAAATTTATTATAGACAAATAAAGCTTTGGCCTATGAATTCTCTTTGCCTATTAAGTTAATGAACCTTGACAAAGTGATCATCTGAGGAGTGGCTGACAAATTATCTGGAGCAGCAATTTGAAAGGAGTTGGCTGCCTTACAAGCATTTAAGTTGGGAGAACAAGACATCATGTTCCTCTTCCTCTGGAAGAGTTATTTTTCAAATCAAATGATTTAAAGTTCACCAGCAGATTCTCAGTATTAGAACACAGAGATAGGACAATGACTGCAGTTACCAAAACAAGCAAACAATCCCTGCAACTTCCTCTACAAGCCTAGGGCTGACAAATTCTAATGAAAAACTATGTCAAGGAAGCCTGCAAGAAGACCAAGAACTCTTCACGTTTGACTGGAGAGCAAGAAAGTAAATAACCTGGAGAAACAGGGCTTTGTGGATTTAGGTAGATAAATGCAGATCTTTCAAGATACTTGGGTGATATTTGGAGGATTTTCTTTGGTAGAACAGTTTTCAATAGACATAGTGGTAGCACAGCTGCAGATTTAGAAGAAGGTCTTTATATGGATTCAACACATCACATCCCATAAGACAACAGTACTTTTCTGAAGTTTAGGGCTGTGCACAATGAACACTTTTAAAACATAGCCACTTCTATTAAGTTTAAAATGAGCTTAATACTTCCCTATTATACAGCATCCAAATGTAAATACTGAGTCTGTTTTGGAGATTGGATTATGGTATACCTCATAATGCTGTCTCTTTCGTCACCAAAGGCATATTGGTGAAAAATATTTAGAACGGCTTCCTCCATGGTCATTCAAAGAGTCCAGGGGAAAAAATGACAGCATTTGCGAATATCAAAAATGGTCATATTTCCAATCTAGATGTAATTGCACAGTGGGAAGGAAGAATAAATGATAGCAATCAGTCGCCTCTGTCACAGCATGTAGCAAAGCATATTGCAGAGCATTAAACAATGAGTTGTGTCTTTTCTCATCTTTTTGTTATCTCTCTGCAGTTTTTGTTGGAATACTGAAAGTGGTTAAATGTACAGGGAATAGGGCTTAATTTTATGTTGAACTGGAATGATGAGAAATAAAACCTTGTTATTAAGGAGAACTGTTAGCTGACAGTTGAACAAACCTCTGTTTTTTAAGTCCTGATGTCAGATCATCAAATGTCTGATGACCAAGTGAGTGTTCAATCACACACTAAAACAAAAGGATGTAGAGAATTACTAGCAACACAAATGGCCCAGTTCTGCTCTCCAGGGCTTCCCTGATTATTGGTGTAGGTGGTCAGCAGGCGATAACCTTTAACAAACTTTTTTCCCTATGCTAACCCCATAGATCTGATAGTCCTAACTATAGAGATAACTTACTGGGCAAGGAATTGCACTTGTCTATGATTAACAAACTCCATTTACATGGTAGCAAATTCCCCTAGAAGCCACTAGTTCCGCTTTTGAGTTCAGGTGTTTTTTTTTTTCCTTTTTAAAATGACTGCTGTTGATTAGGAATACTTTTATAATGATTTCTTCTGTTGTCCGTCTCTAAACACTCAGAAACATTATGATATTGCAGACAAACTACTTGTGTATCTAAAGACCTGAGGTCATTTTACTACTTTTTGATTTTCCTTCACAATAGTATCTGCAGAGACATTCAGATATTGTGGACAGATCTATTAGTGCTTAGCACCTTTATAAAATGATGTCCTTATGAATGTTTTTCAACTATTTTTGCACTGGTCTCAACAGCTGGACTAATCACTTTGTGCAGTGATTAAGCATTTTACAAATTCTAGAAGCCACACAGTTTTCATCATAAGAAACCAACAGCTTCTGTAAAGTCCCACCACATCTGCTGCATTCGTCACTAGCAAGTCTTGTTTTTTTTTTTTTAATTTATCTTTCTATTTTATAGTACTGCAATGCCTTTCACAGATGTTTTTCTAATCTCCAAGGTTTCTTTCCTGTTATTATATCTTACATTAATTTATCATTTTATTTTCCGCTTACAAACTTATGCTCTCTTCTTTCCACGGTTCTCTTCTCTTTGAAAAGTATATATGTATATATATATTTGTGATAAATGTCTATGATCAAAGTTTCAAATACAATTATTTTTTCTTCTGCTGCAGAATATAAAAGGTTTTTTCCATTTATTATCCTGACAAAGGAAGCCCACAATACCTACTTGAAAACTTGTGCCTAACTCTTGCCTCCTAGATCCTATTTGTAAATAGTTTAATAAGCTACAGAAGAATACCTCACTAAGTTATACTAGCATATAGTTTTGAACAGTGTAATTTATTTCTTAACTTTTTTTTAAACCTTTTTCTTGAAGGTAATCACTGACTATTTTATAGCAATGCCTTCCATTTTTTTCAATTACGGAAATGTTCATTATTGTAGGTTTTACTCACTGTATTCTAAGAGCACAGCTAGGCTATAGATTGCTAAATTTTAAATATACTCTCAGCTATGACTTGGTGAGGTGGGTTTGTTTATTTTTTTAATTTTTTTATTTTTTTGTGTGTGCTCATTTTCTTTCAGAGGCTTAGGCAGCTATTCTATAAATCCAAAGATAGTGAAAAAAACTATGCACAACACAGAAACAAAATGATTGAATTCCAACTAAATTACTACAGCTTTCAGTGAAATCTTAGTCATTTTACATAATTACAGAACAATGTATACTGAATTAAGTTGTAAAATGTGATAGATATGACAGAGCCTATTTTAGAGCACCATTCCAATGGATTAAAACATTGCCTGTAATCATCACTGGATTTTGGATGACCAAAATTATATACCAAAGTAGCATATATCTTCCAGTGGTGCAAATGTGAAAGCGTGGTTAAAAATAAGCACAAGCTGTAGAAAAAGATCTATGGTGAAGTGCAAACTATGAGATAAACCTAGCGATGTTCATGCACTCTAACGAAGGAGGTGAGGAAGAAGCGCATGCAGTACCTGGTGATCTCAGAGTCAGGGAGCAGGCCTATGTGGTAGTGGGGATAGGGAGCTGTAAGAAGGAAGTTTTTGTCACACTCGACAGGGGAATAGTGCCTAGGAGAAGGTGGTTTATCACACAGTTTGTTCACAGTGCTGTAAACAGGTTCAGGAGGCCTGGTGATACAGAGACAAAAGATCAGGTGCATATTAGTGGCTGAGAACATAAAGAAAACACAGCAATAAGTTTAAAAGCATGCACAGCAAATCTGTCAAGATCCTTTCAGTAGGGCTTTTTTGACAAGTAAAGTGTGCTGTTAAAGGAAACATCAGAATTGAAACAATATTACAGCATATGAGCAATTGCATATACAGACCCAACAGAAGTGTGACATGAAAGTGGTTTATGGGAAATGTGGTACTGAAAGGGAATACCTTATCTCTGAAGTTCAGTGCCAATTTTTCCCAAATGCTCTGCTTTCTTTCTTTCTTTCTGTTTTTTTTTTTTCTTTTTTTCTTTTTTGATCTAACAGCTTTCTGTGATTTTATTAACTTTATGCATTATTTATGTTACCACTTAAAAGATAATATGATGCTTATTTCCTGAAAAGGGGTCTTTTTCACTAATAATTTAAAATGAAGTTACATATTATTTGTCAAAATACCATTCTCCTGCCCAGCATCCTGAAGGCTTACCAGCAGAGCTGTGGTCAAGGTGAGCCATATCCTAGAACACTGTAGAGATGGTAACAAAGTATGTAAGCCATTCATCTCACTGGCCATCAATTCACTTTAAGCAAATTTCATTTGCTCTCTTTACAGATTCAGCCTTCAACACGTGATTATGCACACTGCATCTCAAACAAGTAACCCCGATGACAAAGCTACAGCCATTTCACTCTGCTGCTCCAAACCAAACGGACAGCAGCCTGTGAGGTCAGATACAAGGATTAACGTCCTAGAATTGATACTGAGAGGTCATTTTTTGTTTCTCTTCTGCTGTCTAGAGGCCAGCAGCTTGACGAGGCAATACTTACCATGAATTTCCTAGTGAGCCCCTGGGGAAAGGGGAAGAGGGAATGTAGTACCAGGTTGAGATCCACAGGAGACAACCAGCAGCTTTCAGAAGAAATGCACCATCTAATACGTTTTCTGCCATGCAACTTCTCCAGCTACTGTGTGGGCCCTAGCAGATACCTCTGGGCCTACTGGCAGAGTGAAACTTGACTCATAATTTCCTAAGTTTCTGCTCTAAAGAGTGCCAAGATGTAATTGCTGTCATATCCTAGCTTCTGCCAGAAGATCCAGCATATGGCACTGTCTCTGATCACAGCAATACAGCATCAGCCAGATGAAAATCGCAAACCTGAAAACACATAGAGGCCAAGCAGTTAATGAAACTTTCGGTTCTTCTGGCTCTCCTGTGCCTCATTTGGGTGTGGTTTTGCTGTGACTTTCACAAGTACCAAAATTTATTATAGTTGTGGATGCACTGGCAGATACAGAGAACAAATTTTCCTTTGTTGTTAGTTTCTGGTTTCATCCTTTGGGGGAAAAGGAGTAGCTGCTTTACAGAAAAACTGGTCTCACTAAATGCTAATAAAATTATTCATAGCAATCTGACATACGTTTTGAGAATTCTCTGTTCCCGACTTTCCCAGGGAAAACTTTACAGTTAAAAAATCAGCAATTCAAGGTTACCAACTATCAAAATAGCACAGTTGTAATTCATTTGGTTATAAAGCATTCTGTCAATCATACAGTACAACCCTTTTAAAAATATACTTATAGCAGCAACTATTTTTTCTCAGTTTATTTTACACTTGCCTCAGAGGTGTGAATTTAATAATTTATCTACTAAATCAATTGCTTTTTTCAACACCAAAAATCTAAAGGAAATAAAAAAAAAAGACCACACTTCTATTATTTATTTTGTTTTAGACCAGTACTTCCTTTTATGCCCTCAAAAAACTCTTTTGTTTTTAGACAATGTATTAAAGAAAGAACAAATACAAATATCAAATATGAATTATACCTACTGTGAAAACTGAAGAAATATTGCCTCAGTGCAGGAAGAAGAATACAACCTGTAGATTTCTCTGTGTCTTAAGACACTAACCAGTCCACAAACAACTTCCTTACTTACTAAAGACAAGTTACTCATCTTTGAGTGGCAGATGACATGAGTGTTGCTGGCCTTTAAATATATTGTGAATGCTAGAACTACAATTGAGTCAACAGTGAGTGACCATCCAAGCTTGTGCTTAGACACAAATCATGCCATAGTGATGGACAGATATAAGAGATTGCTACATTAACGAGCAGTTACAAACTGCCTCCAGAAGCAAAATGGAGAGAAACATTCCACATCAATCTAGATACTGAAATCAAATTTCTCCTTTAAACATAAACACACATCACTAACAAATATCATCTCGGAACTCAGCAAATTTTAAAATGTTTTTTAGTATTTAGTGTTTTGCACTCCTTTCAGTCTTGCTGAATGGAAGGATAACAAAAAATTGGAACAATTCTTTCAAAAGTGACTGTGCTGACATTGCCAGTCCTTGTTGCTATAACACAAATGACGCTGTGACATAGCTAACAACAGACCATCTGTAATTGGGCCGAAGAGAATTCTTGTGGTTAAGGACAGGAATTCAAACTTATCATTTTAATTCTTTCTTTGGAACAGAATTCCAGGCATCAGTTAATTCAAAATACGAATGCCCTTATTTTAAAGGCCTGTAACTGTACAGAAATTGTCATAACCATCCATCTACTTGCCATCAGATGTCATCCTTTGTTGTCGTTAAGACCATGGACTGAACATGTTCCTTAGATAACTTCATCCAGACAGATAGGTTGCTGAATGCTAATTCTGCCAATTGCAGAGTTGGACTCTGGCTAAACATTGTATTAGAAAAGGAAAAGCAAGAAAAGCAAGTGCTTGAAAATAAGCGGTACACAGCATCAAAGGTCTGGGTCAGAGCAGTATAAACTTATTTTATCTCTCAGTTTGATTCACAAATGTCAATTAAGTAGAGAAAAAATAACTCAAAGTTGAAAATGGCAGAAAAGCAGAAAATGATTAAAATGTACAGGACAGATGACTGTCCTAGTCATGAAAACTGTGTTTTATTTAGGCCATTAATCCTTCAAAGTAATACTTGCTGCAACAGAGTATCTTAAAATCTCCTCCTAACACTTTACCTTCTTCCCTATGCAAACTAGAACTTACCTTCCAGAGCGCCTGCCAACTGTGGAAGACAACAATCCCCACCACAAAAACAAAAATTAAGAAGATCACTCAGCTTCATTAAATGATTCTCCTAATGTAGCATTTCCTCATTTCTATTTCCACTAGCTGGTAGGAGAAGAATGAACTTCTGTCCAATAGAATCAGCCCACTTGGTAAATCCTGTCTCACATTTCTTCTTTTCCAGAGCTATGACAGAGACAGACTTTTCTCTCTAAGCATAGGATAAGGAGATCATAAAAGATTTCTCTTTACAAACTGTTTCTGATGTTCCATTCTGAAAAAAAACCTCAAGATCATCTCAACTTTTCTTGCAGAGTAGTGAAAAGCCAAGCTGAACATAAATACTGAGATCTGATTTTATCATTCCTCAAGTGAGTTTTAAATACAGGCAGCAGGTCATTTACCATGCCATAACAAACATGTAAAAGATGGCTACGTATTCTTTAAGTACTGAATCATAGCAGCTTATTTGCAATTGCATCACCCCTAGATACAGCAGGTACAGCTTCAGAAGGTTTGTTTTATTTAAAATGAATATTAAAGAAACGTTGTTATTTTTAACATGAAGAAGGACAAAGAACTGTGTTATAGAATGCACTTTGTCTATTATCTTAATTTTGTATAATATTTATAAATCATACTCTTAAAATGTCAAATAGGGTAAATGTTAATAATTTTGGATAAATTTAATAGTTTATTTTTAGTGATTTTCAAATATGGGTCTATGTGGAAAAAAACTGCTTCTGTAACATCTTAGAACTGCTTCCTTTCTTCTCTTAAGCTGCATTTTTTTTTTCTTTTCTTTTTTTTGTTAGGGACAAACATATTACAGTTCTCTGTCTTTATCTGTGAGCTAAGTAAGTTCTGTGATAAATGAGAGCAACAGCTACTGGCTCTACACAGACAGGAATAATTAAGTTAGTATGAGAATCAGGTGTACAACAACAGAGGAAAAGCATCAGAAAACATAAGCAGGAACATAGCTTTTCTTGAGCCAGTGCAGATAATTCACTGACTAGAGAATCAAGCTACTCCATGTCGCAAGGTAAGCTTTTAAATGGTAGTTTGAACAGCAGGTAGCAATAAATTACTTTTCTGCTCCCAAAAGTTTGAAAGCTGGGACTGTTAATCAGTGTAGAGCATAGCTGCAATGAGGTAAGATCTCTACTGAAAGGTTTGACTAATTGGTGGAACAGCAAACAGCAACAGAGAGGTAGCAGATTGATTTTGATCTGATAATGGATCTATTTATTTATTTCATAAAAGATTGTGTATGGAGAGAAAATCTTCCCATTTGTTTGCAGTCTTTGTTTTTCCTTGTTTGTAACATCATTGTGTTATTATTTCAGGTTGGCTTTACTGCACAACAGACGTTAAAAGAAAATGTCCTTACTAAAACAGTGCTCATCAACATCCATGGTGCTCAACTGGATTTTAACTTTTTTTCTTTAGTGCAGAATCCTATTTGGTAGGATTCAGTTGCTAGCATGAAGCGCATTAAATGTGAACAGTTCACTTTTGGGATTTTAAAACCTTTTATGATATGGAAAGCAACCAGCAAAGCTCTCACAGCATACTGTGTCTGCAGAACTAGTCAGGAAATGCTAAATTGAATGCAAGAGAAAATAAGTTTTACAATGCTACAAGTCTTCAATAATAATATCTTTTTTTACTCTGGAGTAATTCTTAATTGCATTCAAGTTCAGTAACAACAAGTAATATATTATTATTGCTAACACATTCTAGTGTTTAGTGTGAAAAGAGATGTCTTTGAAAGTACATCACCAATAAAACAAAAATCAAAGGCAATTTAATAGAAATGAAGGCTTCCAGAGCAGTAACTCATATATACGTGTCTTTTGATTTCTTAAGTTTCTCATTCATATGACCTTCTAGGAGAACCATGCACCTTCTT